AGGCCTCTCCTTGAACATAACTGCCAAAGGGCAGCAATGGGGTAGGGGAAGGCACCAGTGTGACCCCGGAACATTAAAGTTATGCTTTACTGACAATGTATCAACATGTAATTTCTCAAATCAGGGTTAATTTCTCAAAGACACAACTTAAAATTCATGTTTGTGAATATATTCGATACAGAGCTAAAATTGTTGTGTTATAGGCAATCAAAAACACTTCAAAAACTTACACATGTTGCTTTCTATTCTCCTAATATTGTTTCAACAATTTCTGCCAAATGTTGCTATAGAAAATCTCTCCCAATTAAACTAGCATGACATAGTAGTAACACTGATGAATGCAATAAATTTACATTGCTCTACTAGAAGAGAACAAAGTCCCAAGAGTGAATAAACACTAAATTCCAAGCAAAAAGGATTTTTTTAGCCAATATTTACAGAACTCCAGAAACTATGGAAACTTAAACCTTCTTGGAAGACTCAGTATAGAAGTGCACTCATCTCTGATGGCCATCAGCCTGTCTGTCTGTAACTCTGAATATTCCTTTCCCATCTTTTCTCTTGAATTTCTTACCTCATTTCCCTCATTGTGGACCCCAGTCAATATCCCCAAGCTGGACTTGATGGGGCAAGTTCCTAATGCCCACTGAGTCTAAACTGAGCGAAGCTAATCGTACAGTTCCAAAGGGTGCTCACATGTTTTGCTCAACTGGGATGTTTAATAAAAAAGCACAGGATGCACACAGAGGTTGTGGAGTCTCCTTTTCTGGAGATATTCAAGATCCACCTGGACACCCACCTGTGCAACCTACTTCAGCAGGGGCACTGGACTCAACGATCTCTAGAGGTCCCTTCCAATCCCTACAATTCCGATTCTACAATCAACACACCAGAGCTAGCATGCTCTTATGGTTATCTCCTGAGATACAAAAGGCATTTTCCATTGAAGCTTCTACAGAGAGAGGCTACAGTAATGCATTGGTTAAAAACGTCACAAAACAAACATGTACCACCTAAAAGAAATTTCATCCAATTTCATTGGGAAATCTTCACAACATTTTCTCATGCATTTCCCCACATGAGAAAGCATCCAGAAACCCTTTATTTTACGTAAATCTGAAACTGTAAGCCAGGTCAATTTTTAATCCCTGCCAAGAGTAAGAGGTTGGTTTCCTGAAATACCATCCTGTTTTAACAGCGTATTAATTTATCTGCTTAATATTTTACCATGGACTAAAATAAATATGTATGCAAGCTGATTCTATTCTCAATTTGCTGTTTCATTTTGTTTTCAATTATAACATCAGAAAAATCTGGCATTTATCCATTGAAATATGCCTTTCATCAATAAAACATTCTTCCATCAGTAAGACACCTGTAACAATTTAAATCTCTTCAATATCCTAAATCTCAGTTAGGCAAAATATATTACTGCACAGTGACATTCATAGCATGAGCACTGTCACTGAAGTTAAGTACTTTTATTAAAATGCCATGCTGAATTGGAGGCTCAGCAATGAATATCCTTAATGATATATAAAAACAATCTTCTCAAATGCAGTTTTGCTTATTCTTTCAATAGACCTATTTTCACTAAAGTCAAACACAGAGTGAATAGCTCTCTTTTTTCTCCAGCTTTTGGCCTTACTTTTCATAAACTCATCCTATGCAGTTGCATTGCACACATTACGGTACACAAAGAATCTCATTTTAGAAGGCTACCCAAGGTAGGCACTCCTCTGAAAGCTTAACTTTTCCCATTTTTGAAGTATATATTGACTATATTCCTCAACTGGTATATATATATCTTTAAAGTTCAGTTAAATACACATGTTCTTCCTTTTTTTAATTTTCCTTCCAAAATAGAGAAAACTATTTATTTTGTTTACAAATGCCTAATTTTGGTACACATCTAAAAATGGCTTAAATGTTACTATTTGTTTTCATTCTACTGTTTAATTTCTTTTCTTCACATCTGTCTTTTTAATTGACCGTGGTCTAACTACATTGGACATTAACATTTGTCTGAGAACAGGAACCGGGAATTTTATGGGGTTTTCATTCTTTTGTTTTTATGCTGCCTACAGTAATAATTACTAGTACCATAAAGTTTAAGATCAAACTCCAAATCAGATTATTGTTGTCCTTTCGTTACATATTTTAGGATTTAATCCATCTAATTTTTCCTTATGGAATTGACAGATCAGAAATCAAAAAAGTACTTTCTCTTGGCCAGTATAGTATTTTTTAAAATACCAGACATTAAGTACTGAAGAGTATGTTAGAAGTCATGTGTAAATTCCCAAGGAAACTGTGCAGGGTCTTACTAATGTTCAAGAGCATAAATTAACAGTGGAATTTGGATAAAATTAGTGGCCATGCTGGCTGCTACATAAATAAAACGCACCTTGGCATTACATGGATTTAGGATAACTGTCTCCCTTTGGGAAGTTTTAACATGTACTTAATACAACTACAAATCCTGATTTATGCAACAGAATCATTTGCAATCTTCACTGCTATTCCTAGCTAGTGGTAAGATACAGACAAGTTAACAAGAAAAAAAGGCCCAGAATTAACAGTGATTAACTTCAGATAAAGATTAACACCACAAACAGCATTCACTGTTTTTATTCATGCTATCTCTTTTACTTTCAAAGTAAAACAGAAATATTTGTTCTTATAAACTGAACATGGTCCTTGCCTTATGTTCCAATTATCAAAGGTCCCTCCGAAGCAATACATTACAAACTTAGAAATGCTAATTCACTTGCACACTGGTGAAGAGTATCCTTAGCTGACTACAGCTAAGTGCCTCAAAAACGGCAGCAACAACACAAAATCAGGACACGATGTCTGATTCCTGACATGATAACAATGGTCATTTTATTATGTTTCTTTACATCAAAGACATTTCTAGTTATTTTAGGACTGAATTGCTGCTTTGTGTGGATTGGACCTACATTACTGGTAAATTTGTTATAGCAAACAAGAATATATAAAAGCATATTTTTGCCTTTCCACAGTGTAATATTCTATTACTGCAGTATAATACACAGTAGCTAAATGAACCCTTCCTTGGTTATTGCCCACCCAAGGTTGTAAAAATATTACTATGACATTTCATCCGGTCAACCATCTTAAAAGGTTAATTCTGTTTCCTATTTGAGATTTTTCTCTAGGTGAGATATTCTGTGCAGTTTCTATTTACTGATTCCAAACAACCCCCAAACTGTTTCATTGCTCACTCTCACTGTTCAGAACATATTGACTGGCTGCTTGCTCTGCTGTTTAATTCATTTATGCTGAGAGTCAGGCATGAAGGCAGAATTTTAAATGTGACATTTGCGGGCTGTTGGGTCATTTGAAGCCCTGACAACACCAGGGAGTTCCTGACATACAAACTGGTCCTGATTTCCAATCTTCCATGTTCTGAACACATCAGATATTCCTCCCAGAGGTGCAGATTTCAGCCAAAAGTTTTTAAATCCCTTGTGCTTACATCTTGCAGAAAAGACCTGTACAGTTTAAAGTTTTAAAATAGAGCTTGTGCTTCTTTCCAGGTAAAACCAGCATTGCCTGCAGCATGCAACACAACTGCTCATAAACACCAACTGACAAAGGTATTTCAAAAGATCTACAATAATAATTATATTTGGACATTTCTTCCTGATTATTCTCATGTGTTCAAGCCAGCTCAGGATGACATCACAGCTTTATTTAACATTGCTGATTTGGCTTATTACTATCCTGATCAATATCATCTCCCAGTTTCCTAAATGGAAGTTTTTGTTGTCTCAAAAGACTTGGTGGACTACACCATTTTTTTTATCTCCTACGGGGGACTATCATAATGCTCCCCAGCTTTCAGGTCTATCTTTCATTGGGTACCTGATTACTTGAAGGATTCCACACTGTTGAGATACTATTAAGAAAGCAGTAATCTGACCTATTAATTCCTAAATTAGGGAAATCACAATTGCCTGTCCCTGAAGCAGGCCTAGCATCTACAAAGTTCAAAAAACAAAATTCTGAGACAAAATTCCAAATGACTGCAACTGAATAGGTCTTCTTGCTTTCTTTCAAACATCACCAAGAACAGAGATGCAAAGCCTCAATATTCAGGTTTTACAGTATGTCTCACGTTTTATGGATGTTACTTAGTCATCAGTCTTTCCACACAGTACGCAGAGTCCACTGTGGCTAACAGCCAGCCATCAGGCTTCAGAAGACATACGAATAAAGGCTGGGCATCTCATCTATCAGCAGGATGGACTGTGTGAACTTTGAGAAAAGAGCAAGAAGGGATTATAGAATCTTCTGCAGAAGAAATCTCTTCCTCCTTCTTGCCATAAGTTAACTAAAATTAGATATGCTATAATTAAAAACGTAGCCTGCCTTTCAATTCCAGCCCCAACTCCCTCATTAGAGTGTCTGAATCAATGGAAAAGCATTGATTTGAAGTAAGGACACAGTAGGCACAATCTAGGCAAAATCTCAATCTCTGTTCTCTGTTGTGAAAAACAAAAAGCAAACAAAGACCTGTGCAAAGCAGGAAGTATGATGACACTGCTGCAGTTGGAAGCAGAAATACTGCCAGCACCTCATTCAGAAGGGGACATTATTTTCCCCTCTCAACGCTTCATAATTCCACAACAGCGATTCTATAGTTTGTCTGCTTTTTTGGGGAGCAGGAATATGATTTGGGAAAATACTCAAATTAGACAAAATTCATGGATTTTTTTTCTTTAACATCAGTACATACAACAATTTTAACAGTAACCTCTGAAGTGACAACTGTGTCATACAGCAAGTTATCATTTCATTGCCATGTTCTGAATAAGCCTTTTATGATTTAATGGTTGTCATCTGAACAAGAGTGTGTTGTTTTTACATACTTCTAGCACGAGCTCATTGATTTTGCATGACCTAGAAAAGCAGTTAGAATATTACAGATGTTGTTTATTCTCAAAGAAATTCCTCAAAATAGAAAGACTTACCTGGTGTATTATCTGAGCCACCGGAAGCTGATCAGCATATTTAAGTGGTTCTGTTGCCAACACATCCTTTGGCAGCCTGGGAAGAAATGAAGAATTGACTTATCAAAGTCAAAAAAATGTTTGCTAAATGAAATTACTGAAATTTAAGAATTTCAGGTATACCCCAGATACCAAAATTCTAGAAGTGATATTGTTTTGATTACAATGAAACAAAAGGATCTTCTTACGTAGCTGAGTAAAATAATAAGCTCACTATAAACGAACGTTAATATTATTGTAGAGTTTTTTCACAACAGAAGCAGATAAATCAGCAATTCAGTGGCAGAAATCCATGAAAATCTCTTAGTTTAGTATCAAATGAACAAAGCATTGGTGAAAAATGGATCGAAAATCCCACAGGCAAGAAGCCTTATGAGTTCACAAAGCAGATCAGGATTGTTAATAGCACAAGATTCTTCACTCTATCCTGCCAACATAACTCAAATATGACCACCTCAAAAGGCAAGAGGGTTTGTTTACTCTTTCTTCTTTTCCTGCCAGTGCATATCAGTATCCAGCTGATGACTTAAACAACACAATGTTTCTGCATTAGAGAGCAGAGCAACATATATTATCTATTTCAAACAACAAGATGTTTCAAAAAAAAAAAAAAATTGATGTTTCAAAGAACATCAAATTCGGGAGCAGAATACTTCACCAACAAAATGCATCATACATCTCTAAGTTTCAAACAAACCACAGCTACAAATGAAAATGCAGGATCCATATGCATGTTCTCAAAAGAATATTTAAACAATAGTAAACGAGTACAAAAGTATGTTTTAAACCCTTTAATCATAGTACTTTGTTTAACTGAAACTCACAGCATTTGCTAAATTTTTAAAATATCATTCAAGGTTTTATCAGTTCCTTTAAAGAGCTCTAGGCATAGGAAGCACAGCAATATGAGAAGAAATGAAGGAAAAATGATCTCTACAAAACAAAACCCTTTCTACAAAATTAAATTGGAATTACTGTCAGTCAAAAACATTGGCCAAAATGCTATTTTGCAAGTTCAGGTTACTAACTTATACTCATTTAATTCAAAACTGATACGAGGGCTTGCAGGGTTATTCTAGCTGCAGACTGGCTGCCAAGCATGAGACAGAAACTACAGACTGCCTCTGCAATGATAAAAGAGAAAACCATAAATGCACATCTCTTCCCTTTTCAACTTCTGAATTTTTGTTGTGGTTTGGAGCGCTTTTAAGTTTCACATAAGAGGCTGAATGAAAGAAAATTAAATAAGCAAGCTGTTAACTACTGAATTTGGTCTACTGAAACAGCTGATTTACTTACAAGGTTTTTACAAGGGACTGTTAATGGCAATGATGAATCTGTACTCACAAACTGCTACTTTCCAAACTTCAGTAGTAACGATTGGTGCTCCAAGGAGGTCAACACTGAACGAGCTAATTATTTATTTCACCGTTTTCTGTTGAAATACCAGTAAAAACTATCATCAATTCTGAAACAATATTCCAATTCTTTCTTCCTGCAGGAGAACTTGCATCCAGCTGTTTTCCTCACAAAGTAGCCACATTTTTTTCAGTTGTTTTAAAAGTTTCAAGTTCTCTGCTGGCTCAGCTGACTGGTGGTGGCATTGATTCTTTCTAAAAAGCATGAACTTTTTTCTTTTTTCTTTCCTCCCAATTAAAAAATATACGTAAGAAATGCATATGTAATCCAGAAGATACATGGTAAGAAAAAAATTTCTTTTTTAGTCCAACATGAGACATATCACTGTCTATTTACTTATCCACATCTGATGTGAATTTGAGCCCGTCAATTGATAAATTACCCTCATTTATGGATACCAGTCACATCAATGCACTTCTTAGCCACAGTTGTGCATATTAAAACATTGCACACAGAATACTCATTTATATCTTGAATGCTTATTCCGGCAGTCTTTAAAAGGACAACGCAAAAGTCGGGGAAAAAACTGCATCTCAAATCCCAAAATTGAAGATCTGAAGCTGCGAGCAACAGCTGAAATTACTCTAAACTGAATGTTAGCAGGAAATAAAAAAACCTTGTCTGTTCTATGAAGGACTTTGAACATTCGGCAATGTTTTCTGTCTAGACAGAGTCAGCACCCTTTGCATAGTCAAACAACCTCCTCATCAACTGCAGAAAAAGACCTTTCTTTAAATGTCAATGGATTAAAAAGAGAAAAATTATCAAGATAATTTTGAGCCTTAGGAATCTTTACTGAAAAAGCAGGGAGAGAAGAAAGAATAGTATAAACATATATGTTTATATGCATATTTTAAAGTAAAGTTAGATTTACATTTAAATTAGGCTGACAGGAGAATTTCAAGTTCAAGAAAGATTTTTTAGTTTTTCCTAATCTATTTTCAGGAAAAAAAAAAATCAAGCCAATTGAACTACACTACATTGTATATTTTATACTGATTACAAGATTTAGATAGACAAATTATTATATGTGCACACATGTATACATATGTACATTAATCACACACATACAGAAGTAATTCAGAAGAATTCAGAACTGTTCTCTCCAAAGTTCTTCTGTACTCAGTGATTTACTAGCTGTCAAGACAACAAAAGAGCTTTGATTCTTCTCTCCTGCCTCCTCAACTGGATGAGCATGTATCTCAATCTTTAATATTAAACTGCATACATTAAAGCATGGAAGCTCAAAAAAGTGACAAAAAAGCTGTATGAAATATTGCCAAAGAATGTCCTTTACTTGGAGCAAGTCATTAACTTGAGCTAGCAGGTATGATAAAGCACTGTATCAATAAACTTTGGGCATTTGAGGTTACGGGCTAAGGTGCAAGAATAACTCACAGCAAGTGGCATTTGTAAATTTGACAACAGTAGCATGGTATTCATTATTATGATGTTGCAGTGCTATCATCTGAAGTTACAGCAGGGCATTTTGTCAAGAGAATGAACAGACCACCACCTCCTACCACCAAATGCTCAGCTCGCTCTAAGAAAAATCAGCTGTGAAGAGGATATGCAGATAATTGAGCCAACCAAAAACATCAAGCTCTCACTGAACATAAATTTTGTTTTTTGCCTATATTTATAAGCATGTATAAGACAAATACAGCTATCTGAGCCTAAGACAAATACAGCTATCAGAGCCTAAAACCCTCTGGAAGTAGACACATTTACTATATTTTAAATAGTCTTTTTAATATAGAACAGACACAACTCATTGCCAATAAGATCCAGCAACACCACGTACCTCCCTTCCCCAAAGCAGCAGCATCCAAAACTGGTTACTTTTGGCAACCAGCATAGCCTGAGCCACGTGCAAACATTGGGACAGCACTACTTCTAGTGAGAAAAACTATGCTGACAGATAAACACCACAGAACTGCAATACAGTACATTCGTCTGTCTAATTCGTGAGCACAGAACACTGTCATACTCCATCAAGAGAATTAGTTAGCGTGGTCAGCTTTGCAATCAAATTTAAAAAAGCAACAATCAGGACAGTCAGTATAAAGAATGATGGGAAAACCTACTGCAAAACTGCAACTGAATCCTACACAAGCCCCACTGTAGCTGAGCCTCATTGGCTGGATGAATTACCTGTAAAAGACTCTTCTAAAAGGACAGAAAGGCCGTAACTAGAAAGGAGAAAAAAGTTGACAGAGAGGACGTTCTATTTCCTCCTGTGTTTTTTAGGGTGGATGAAGAAGAACAGGTCAGGAAAAAGATCATATCCATTGCCATGTTTCTGACCTTGCTTTTCTCTTTCAGACAGACACAAGGAAGTCACTTATTTTGCTCACAGAATTTCCAGATGCCTGGAATTGCATTCATTTTTGTTAAAAAGCAGTTATGTCAGGAAAAAAAATACAGAAAGTCACCTCAGTGGATGGAATTTGTGCTCAAATCACGAGGCAATTTGAGGCTGTAAATTCACAAAATCATTTGGCCTCACTTTTTACTTCACTGATATTTGACACTTAAACCTCTATAACATTATGAGCTAATTTGTTGTAATACATATTTCTTTGTATGCTTGATGTCTTTCAAAACAATTCTACTACAAAAAACAAAAGTCATCTTTCATGAATTAATTTTCCAGTGAGAAATACTCCTTTCTGTCTCAATTGAGCATGACAGCAGAGTGCTGCCAACAGTGGCAAAGCAAGCTAACACAGCAGCACATCAGCATATACTGCATTACGCCTGACAGCTGGTAAGCAAAGCATAAGGAGATCTTGATTTTTATAGAGAAGACTAGAAAGAAACAGAAAATCAGAAGAGATGCGGGAAGCAGTAAGAGAGCAAAAGAGGAGGATCCCGAAAAATTCAATTTGGAAGTTATTTTTATACTGCTGCTGTGAGTGTTCTCAGATGGAGGAAAGTAAGCATAAAACAGACACTATGGAAAGTGAGTCTAAATCCAGTAAAATGTGTCAAGATAGTGAAAAATCTTATTTGTTATTTACATTTACTTGTTCTTTCTTATGGGAAAATTCCTGAGACCCAATGAGTGCTGAAGTACAAATCCTTACAATCAAGAAGTGGCATATTTTGCCACAAGTGCTATGGTCTGCTACACAGAATAGCTGCAATGGCTTTAGGGCATAGACATATTTCATCTCATGCAAGCATTGTAAAAAATACAAGAAAAAAAGAGCAGTATGTGATCACTACCTGGTTTGCTCATGGCAGAAATGTGCAGTTAGGACACTTCAGGAAAGAGAAAAGACCTGATAATCAGGACAACCTGCACAACACAGCCATAAAGCCTGGCTCAGTAGTCAATGTAAACATTCATTAATTACATGAGGTAGTAGGGCTAAGGCCTATACAGTTTCTAGATATGCTGGTTTGAAAAGAGCACATGTGAGACCCATGCACAAGTAATACTGCACCTCTTTGAAGCCACTGATTCTGAAAGGTAAGTCCTAACACATAACCACTCCTCTCAGAAACCACACAAGATCAAAGTCAGAGTGTTAAGTCAGGGTAAAGAGAAGAGGCAATCAGAGACAAAAATACAGTAAGGAAGAAGAGCCTTGCACAGCTCACAAACCGCAG